TGGTATTCCAGAAGAGCAAGGGAAAGGAGCAAAATATAGAAAGAATGTTTTCGAAATCCTCATCATTTTAATTGGCGAGCATGAATTGCAATTATATTCGTAAAAGTTGTAAGCAAAAAACCGCATCTGATACTTTTGTTTGTTAATGATTAAAAAGTTATCAGACTAAGGTTTTCACATTGTAAAGATAAAGGGTTATATTTCATTGAATGATTTTCTTGAAATAATGATCTTGAATATTTAATTATATGCATACATCAATATTCAGAGCAATAGGGACTTTTAGATTCGCATGAAGACATTGGGGATTGCTACGATCGACGTCCTTTTAATGCACTGCCTTGGATGGACGTCACACGTATCTGTCCACGCAAATCTAAAAGTCCCTATTGTGAAATCATTGGGCCCCTATGGAAAACAGCACTCGTTCTGATGAGGGGTTATCCATCCCACAAGGGGTAAACAAATAGATTGAAAAATACTAATAATGATATCAATCATGATACTATGGCAGAAACAATAGATTCCATTCATAATCAAATTGTTGTGTTGTTAAATGAAATCTAAAAAAAGAATAATGAGTAGTTAGGGTACAAAATTATACTCCCAACATTACCTGTACGTTTGGAATAAAGAAATACAATTTGTGTGAAAACAAAAGAAGTTTCCTCGTTTAAATCAATTGATATTCATAATAGCCTTGGTACTTCCGTTCATCCCGATGTTAAATCTATAAGTTCAATCATGGACTTATTAAGGATGGACATTCATCGTTTTCTTAACGAATTCATTGTGATTGTCTCCGTCAATGTCGTCACAATGACAATCTGTACATGTCTCTTCACTTTGATCTCATGATGGTCACCGCCAAAAAGCTGGGACAGAATCAAGATAGTGATTTTACACATGTTAACATACATGCGCAGATGATAATAACTCGCTTAAATCATGGAAAATCGATGTGCAGTTCTGGTTTATAATCGGAAATTGTTGTTCCGTGTACTGTATTTTATTTTGAAAAACATGTTGATGTTTCCAGATAGAGGTTATATTTGGAATGGTTGTGATTTAAAATCCGTTTCCTCCAATTTCCTCAAAATATTCCAGAGTTACAACGCACAAGGCTTATAAAGATCATGGCTTTCTAATTGTTTTATAAGGTCATGGGTATGTGCGAAAGTTTGCAAATCAGTAATAATATATTTCATATCACCAAAATTGTCTGCTTTTCAACTTTGCTGCTTCCAATTGGGTATGTTTTTATTTAAGACACACTCTTACAGAGCACACCATCCAAACGAAACCCAAGAGAGGGAAACTGCTCTTTTGTCAATGACTGAAAATGCTTACGCAGTCGTTATTGTTAAAACAACTGAATGTTCTCATTAAGATGCACATAATCAGAAGGCGGTGACTATCATTGGATCAAAGAAAGAATCACGTTGAATGTCCATCCGTAATAGGTCCATGGTTCAATCTACCACTTTAAAAATATGTCGTTAGATGATAATGTGTGGCAATCTCTCAAGCATTAAGCTTGTATATTGTCATCCTTCTGTGTGCTTCCTTATTATTTACAATTACAAATGTATAATGGTCGTAATCTAGTGTTTACTAGTATACCGTGATGGTCATGCTCATAGTATGTAAACTGTTGAACCATGCAGAATTAAATAGATAAATAAATAAATACATAAATCGCTTCTTAAATCGCTTCTTAATCCCTACACCTCATAATAATCATGATAATATATTTCAAAGTAATGTGGATTATCATAATCGTTATAACCACAATAAGGGAGTTTACAGATAGCACATGGTACAAATGACCCCAAATATCCACAGATCTTTTACACATGGAGAAGTTCCACTTTGAGCATCTTGGAATAATAACTGCCAAAGATGTGCTTCATGAATACCTTTTGTTTGCCCTCTTGAAAAGAATACTTCCACCTGCGTATCATAGAATGTACCGTTGGTGCATAAATGAATAAGGTTACATAACTTTCATGAGCGCATATCCAGTATTCATCTCTGTGGGTTTTACCATTTTAGTACAAATGACCTTTATCTGCACATGCGCAGATTGTATCAGTAAACTCCCTTATTGTTGATTAGAGCTCTTCCCCGTGTAATAAGCCAGTTCACGGTTGCAGTCTGCGCATGAGCAGATAAAGGTCATTGCAGAACAAATTGTGAAATACACGGAGACGAAATACTGGAAACGTGCTCATGAAAGTTATGTAATCATTATTCAATTATGCACTCCATGATACACAGGTGGAAGTATTCTTTGAAAAGGGGAAACAAAGGCTATTTATGTAGCACCTCCATCGCTGTAGGAGTGATTATTTCAAAATGTACAAAGTGGGACCTCTTCATGTTTTGAAGATCTGTGGATATTCCGGGTCATTGCAGTAATGTGCTAACCGTGAACTGGTCTATTGTTAGTCTGCACCTAGATCCTTTGGACCAGACCGGTTTATTAATATATTCCAAATTGTATGCATAATTTTTTTCAACAAAGGTTGTTCTTGACAACCTGAAAACTTGCCCGAGGCATGCCCATATGGCAACGAGTAATGTATGCACAGTGGATTCCAGGTATTGTAGTTCATTCATTAATGATAATAATACTGAATTATAGGCATTTCTATAGCGCCGTCTATACAGAAATTCTATCCCGAGGCACATTAGTTATTATCCCGGCTTTAGCCTAGCTGCCATTACAGCCCTTTAGCATTTCAAGGAATTAATTCCTGCCAGGTACCCATTTACCTCACCTGGGTCAAGTGTGGCAAATGAATATTAATGACACATCCATATATTTGAATATGTTAGTAAGCCTGTCTATTGACACTGAAAGCCTTTTAACATGACATTGGCGCAGATACCAGTTAAAGTTGTACATGTATCATGCACCAAGCTTCAGTTGGAAAGACTTTCTAAATCAATGACAAAACCTTTACTTTTCAATGAGGAAAAATCATAGCTGAGAAGATAGAAATTATATTTGGTGAATAATATATTATAGGGGAGGAATTGTAGCCAATTCATTTAAAAATACTAAAACATAGCAGTTGACAAATCTATTTCTGAGAGACCTTCACCCAGAAGAGCACCAACTTATTTATGCAATTTGCGTTCTGGCAACCGTTGTACAAAGGATAATAGCAGGTGAATGAAATGCTTCATCACCACACACACCTGGGAAGTTAGCATCCATAAGTTTGAATACATTTACTTGATAAACGACTTCACACAGTACGTCACGTTATCAATAAACTGGTGATGGCCTCGTCGTGCTGAGTAACTGTACATTATTCTTGCTTTAGGCCTCTCTCATACTTTGGAGGGGAATCTTGTAGATTAATGGGCAAGAATATGATAGATCTATCAAAATAAGTAAAGTTACTTCTTGGGGTGAGGTTTCCTTTAAGAACTGGCTTTTGCAATAGACCTGTTTACTAATGCATTTCAATGTATGCATGTTTCTCTCCCGAAGCCTAGGCTACCAACTTTTTGATTCACCTCCTATGGTAACGGCATCTCAATGGATGGCCTCCACCTTGCATGCATTAGTTGTTGCTAAGTCAGACAAGCCTCTGGCAATCTTTATATTCGTCTATATGAACTTTGTTCAGAGCGTTTGTATACAATTAGTGAACCGATCCAATGTCACGTAAAACCAGCGTGGAAAAACCCACTGCGATATTGAAAATATAATAGTCATAATTGTCCTCAACCAAAATCACCGGGTCATGCGTTACAAATTAAATAACAAAAGTTTATAACCGCAGACAGCATAGATGCGGTGTATCCTATCTTCTGAATGGGAATCCTCACACATACAATAGACCCGGCTCCTGGCACAGGCGCGTTCTTTTGTTACCTGTACATTGCTAATAATACTACATTTTCTCTCAGTAATATAATGCGATGCACGTATATAATTTTATGAGTCTATATGTTTTGTGATTTTGTGAGCGCTATGGTACTTTTTTGTTTTTAGCTCTCCTAAATAATCGATGTTATTACTATAATTATGATGATGATGCTTATGATGATGACGATGATGTTGATTATCATTATCATCATAATAATCAATATTTTTATTATAATTATGATTATTGAAGTTGCTGTTTTTGTTCTCATTATCATCATCATAATCATTAAATCATTATTATTATTATTATCAATGAAACAGTAAGTTCGAAGTATTCAGAACATTGTAAAATACTGATAATTCAGTCCAAATCAGCCCTAGTGTCTCTCCGAACGATCACACACCGTCGCTATAAGCACCACTGCCACCAAGTAAAGATGTATGATTTTCAAATTACCAACAAGGGATACAAAAAAGCTTTCCCACATTCGAAATTTGCCGATAGAAGTTCAAAAAAGATTTCCAACGAGCAAAAAATGTAATAGCAATTAAGGGCTCATCTTGATGCTGTGAAGCTCTAAAGATATCAAGTATGTCGACCGGAAAGGTATAGAGGTGTCACATTTCCAGCCTGAGCAACTCCTATGACCTCCCCTTTTCCTGTACCCATTACACATGAGCGCAGAATACTATTATGATGACCCCTCCTCATCCAATCAAAAGTTTTGTGCTCATTGGAAATTTTCAGACAACGACTTCTTAGGCTATTACAGGTTTAAAACGACACAATATCTTTCAATTAAACTCTATTATGTTCAGTGGCGTATATATCCAGTTCTTGATCACCATGGGGTGGAACTCCCCCCCCCCCCCCCCCTCCACACACACATTTACAAACAGGGATGGTAGCAAAATGTATATGGGTGGCCATGCTTGCTGCAGTGGTATTTTCTTCTTCTCTGGTCAACAAAAACGGATGGGTCTAGTCTTTACCCTATCGCCTATTCACTAGTTGTAATAAGCTACGGAATTATTCATTGTATTTTCAAGATCTTTCAAACAGGGAGGGGCGTCATCCTATGTTGGATACGCCACTGGATTTTAAAATACTTACATTCTCTAGAGGGTACGGGTGGTAGTTTGTCTCGTATGACGGCGATTATGACGAAGATCACGATCGGCCAGAGAAGAGTCGTGACCGTCAGAAGCTGTGGAATTGAAAGTCAAAAGTGAGGGTTTTATGGATGATGATTTCAAAGTGCTCAAAAATGAGGCACCATAAGTATGAATTAAATCAACGGAGGGGAGAGTGTGTGAGAGAGAGAGAGAGAGAGAGAGAGAGAGGAAAAAAAAGGGGGGGGGGGTAAAGCGGAAATAATTTTGTGAAGGTATGGCCTCTTTCCAGATTTTCTCATCCATTATTATAGGAAGACTAGTGAATACCAAGCAACCCCCTCCCATGACGACCCATCAACAAATAAATTCGAATTCAATTCAAATTCAAACTTTATTGATTTAAATCTTTGCCTTAATCTTCGAACATTGAATCTGAATTGTGCACAAGAATAAGGATTGAGGCACGGCTTTTTACCTGTACAGTATTATATCTTTAACTTTGCTCCATCTCTATAATCATGGACAGTAATATATTACTGGGAAGGGGGCTTCAGAAGGTTTTTTTATAGGGTGGGGGACACAGGTCTTGGAAAGTGCTGACACGTATGGAAAAAAAGTTTATCATGTTGGTCATGTTCATCGGGAATGCATTTTCAATTCACAGCGCCCCCCCCCCCCCTTGCCACCCCTATCGCCGCCAATGACATTTCGTGCAAGGTTTCTGAGATAATAATTATAACGAAAGTCCACCATTTATGGTTCTTCATTTATGGTTCTTTTACGACCTAGCGCATTTCCGATATGTCGATCTTGTGATTATAAATCATAATAGAGTATAAGACAGGACGAAATAAAACCATGTTATTTTTTTTAAGGGAGATCAACACAACATGAATGTTTCAACATAGTAAAAATGTGTTGCCACTCTATAAAATGTTTTCCTGTCACTCATGACAGTGTGGCAGTGTAAAAGACACTTCTCGGTGGTGCTATAAAATGCACCAAAATTCTATTTCATCTCCCAATTTTGTCTTATGAATATGCATAATATGCATGTATAATCATTTCATTATTTCATGACTTAAGGTTTTTTTTGTTTTCTTACTTGATCATCCATTTTTCAGCTGAATGTATAGATTATTTCAGTAGCAAAACTAGATGATTTGGGGATGGCGGCTCAACTCAAGGCCCCCCCCCCCCCCAAAAAAAAAAAAAAAAATCTTCTAGAAAGGCTTCTGGATTATTTATGGAGTTAGTAATATTAATAAAATATCAAGTCGAATCAATAATGTCATTCGAATATAATGACATAGAAGAGAGGAGGGGATGTGTGTGTGTGTATGTGTGTAAGAAAAACACAACCATTTTAAAATTTAACAGAAATGGAGAAAAATCTTACCGGGCTTCGGATCTTGAGTTTAGCATTCTTCCAGAGAAGCAGTCCTACTTGAGCGAATACACCCATGACTGAAGGGAGAGGTGGGAGTTATTCTCCCTGCTCTGCTGGTTTGTGAACCTCGGTTGTCTAGGTAAAGAGGGAAGAAAGGTTTAATGTCGCGGTAACTGATTTAATGCTATTTTGTGAACCTTTTGATGTGTTTTGCTTGTTTGTTTGTTTGTTTTTTTTTTTTTTTTTTGTTTGCTCGTGAAATCAATTTCATTTGTATATACGTTTAGGCCTATACAATACGTATAACAAAAAGTTTACCCAACTTTGGTAGCTCCTAATAAAAAGCTTTAACCTTTGTGACTTTGAATCATATTCTATTGTAAGGAAGAACTAATACCCTGTCAATTGATACCATGTTTATAATTATGCTGCTAAGGATGACTGAACAGCAGGCATTTCAAAAATTATTCTCAAAATCCTCTTGAACCAAGTTTGAACTGAAGCAATGAATGTGGGTCAAAAGTGTGTGCTATCGTTCCAATACAATATTTGCGCATTTATTTACATCGACTATTCGGGAGTTGATTAAAAAAATGGTGGTAATATCAAATCAAACTCTAGGAAATATTTATTAAAAGCAAATGATGATTACAATCTTGAATTCAGTTTCATCCCTTGTTTAAGGTTACCTCCTCATTGAGTGATACACAATGGATAACATTTATTTGGGATGTTATCTTTTTTCATGAAAGTCTGCTGTCAATATATTCTTGGATATTTATCATCATGTGTTCTTTTTGGCGTTTGGGTTTAGTATTAACCTTTGAGTTTCATTCGCTAATCGAGATAAACACCGAATGCTCATCATAATACGCGTGTGAAATGGCGCCGTGGACAAGTGATGACAAAACTTAGATATCATGACACAAGAAGTTAGTATAGGCTTTTACAAATAGTTAAAGGTTATCCTGAAGATAGAAACAAGGCTCTGTGAAAGCCTAGATACATTGCACCATTTTAAACAATGAAGCTCTGAAGCACGATACATATTAATTTAACTTTTAAAAAGATTAAAGACCAAAGAAGCACAAATATGCCTGGCCTGACCCTCATTGGTTCCTTAAGCCCAAACTTGGAACAAGGCGACTTTGGCAACACTTTTTAAAGACCCCGGTGCTCAGTCACCAGTGGCATAAATATTATGAATAGGGTATCATTGGGCAGAAAAAGGGTTACTCTTTATCATGAAATCAAGTCCAAATTCATATTGGTTATGACTTTTTAATTAGGAGCTACCAAAGTTGGGTACACTTTTTTTTATATGCATTTTATAAACACACGAAAATGTAATGTGTGTTCGACTTTCTCTTCATTTCTCTCTTCTATCTAACCTTTCTTAGCCTCCCCCCCCCCCCCCTCTCCCCCCCCCCCTCTCTCTCTCTCTCTCTCTCTCTTTCTTTCTCTTCCCTCCTCTTCTTTTTCTCTCTTTTGCTCTCTCGCTTCCACTCTCTCCTCCTCGCTTCCCCCCACTCTCTCTTGCTCCCTCAATTATTTCCCGTCTCTGCCTTTTTCTTTTCTTTCATCTTTCTAAAAAGGATACTTAAAAACAAATAAAAACTGGTGATCCTCTCTCACTTCCACTCTCTCCTCCTCGCTTCCCCCCACTCTCTCTCTTGCTCCCTCAATTATTTCCCGTCTCTGCCTTTTTCTTTTTTTTCATCTTTCTAAAAAGGATACTTAAAAACAAATAAAAACTGGTGATGTTAATGATGATGATGATAGTGTTGATGATAATGATGATGAAAATGAAACTATGTTGATATAAATACGCCTGACACAGAAAACTTATATAAGTGTACGGGAGTTATGAAATAAAGTGATGGGTGTTTTTAGAAATCTGGAAATAATATTGAATATTAATTCAGCACTGGGAAAAGATCAAACAATGTACTATGACGGAAATTAATTTAGCGCTTAGAAACGTAATATTAAGCAATTTACCAATGTCTACTATTATTATCATTATATTCCCTCTCTTGCTCCCCCTCTCGATCTCTACCACATGCTATATTATAAGGTATCTTTTAAAAAAATGTGATAAATCTTAAACAATATATAGTAAATTTTAAATACATACTGTTTAACTCACCTTTGTGGTTCTTCAATGCAAGATACAAACGTAAATCCAGGGTAATTTCCCCCAATAATATTCAGGAACCAACTGAGAACACACTATAAAACACCGTCCTATGCAATACGACTTTTAATCATCGATTACATTAAAAGCGGCGCCCGGTACTGAGCAGTGTATACTTGGTCGCACTCCGCTTGGCTACTGAAACCTGATGGAAAAAGACCCTCACTCTCTACTCCGTTGGGCCACTTGATCTAGAGTAAAGTTTGATTTCTCCCCTCTCAAACAAAAGTTTGATGAACTTTAACCAGCTTTTTACCGGAGCGTACATCTAAAGAGATTCTATGTAGAGTGGATGATTTTTTTTTTTTCGTTATTCATTTCGTCATTGAAAGTATGACGACCAAAAATAGCTCTGACAGCAACCCGCGTGTTGACGTGATATTTGCGTCAAAAAATGTGTGCGCTCAAGCGAGGAGGCTTCGTGCGGAACGCCTATGATTTGAGGAGTACGAATAAACTTATGAGGTGTATGAAATATATTGCCACGCCTTCATGGTGCAAAATGCATTTACTATGTGAAAATTCAACGACATTATACTCCAACATATTGTTTATATATTGACATGTGACCCATTACAGAAAAATGTGCTCTTAGTCGCCTTAAATTGAGGTACATTTTATGGTAAAAGGAAACGGCGGGGCATTTATCCAAAAGGAAAAGAGTCTTATTAGAAAGAAAAGAAGCAAGTTTCAAAGTAAAATGTGGAATTGTCTGAAGTGAAAATGGGACACATGGCACAATTGTGAGAACGGGGAAGGGGCACTTATTACAAAGAAATAGGGGGCGATTATCAGAAAGAAAGTGGCACTTATTAGAAAGGATAAGGGGCTCGTGTCAAAATAAAAGGGCACTTATCAGAGATTAAAAGGGGCCATTATTTCAAAGGTAAAAAGGGCACCTTTAAAATTTGAATAAGGGCACTCATCGGAGATGAAAAAGGGGCACTTATAAGATTGAAAAGGGGGCATACAAAGGGAGAGATGCACTTGTCAAAATATAAGAGACACCTATCAGATTGTAATAGAGGCATTTATCAGAGATGTGAGACGGGGCATTTGTGAAAAGGGGAAGGAGATCTTATCAAAACAGAAAAGGGGCATTTATCAGAAGGGAAAAGGGCACTTATTAGAAAAAGAGGGCACTTATCAGAGGTTAAAAGGGGCACTTATCAGAGATGAAAAGGGAGCACTTATTACAAATGCAAAGGGCACTTGTTAAAGTAAAAAGGGCACCTCTCAGATTTGAATGTGGGCAATTATTATTGGTGAAGGGGGCGCTTATCAGAGGTGGTAAGGAGCACTTATAAGATATGTGGAACGGGCACCTATAAGAAATAAAAAGGGGTACTTATCTGAAGTAAAAGGAGGCCCTTTTACTAAGTAAAAAGGGGCAATTTAGGGGGTTCTTGAA